GAAGAAGAAGAAGAAGAAGAAGAAGAAGAAGAAGAAGAAGAAGAAGAAGAAGAAGAAGAGAAGAAGAAGAAGAGAAGAAGAAGAAGAAAGAAGAAGAAGAAGAGAAGAACCAGTCAATGTTTATTTTTTAGTGGATTCATATTTTGTATTACTTATAATCTGAATCTGTAAAGTAACTAAAGCGTTCTAAAAATGTAGAGTAGTATAAAGTACAATATTGGCTTCAAAATGTAGTGAAGTAGAAGTACAAACTATCATACAATGAAAATACTCAAGTTAAAGGTAGTGTAGGTAAGAATGGACAAACCAGCTCGAGTGCGCTAGAATTTGAAAGTACCTTCCTTCAGACTTCCTCACAGAGCCCCTCCTCCAACACACACGAACGCGCACATGACCAATGAGGGCACGAGATAAGTTTGTGCCCAGATGGAAGGCTGACAGGCAGGTAGGCCATCCAGTTACTTTAGCCGGGCCGGCTCAGATGATTGGTCGTGCTTTTTACAGCGCCACGGCTTCCACAGATGTTTGTATGTATTTATTGTCAAAGCATTTCATGTATTCATTGCTATCGGGATGTTAAGAGCATTCCATGGAATATAACAAGTGTTTCTGAAGTGAATTACCTACCCCACCGTTAAGTACAAGTTAATCTAAATTGTCCTTCAGTAATTATTTAGTGTATACACTAAATAATTACTGAAGGACAATTTAGATTATATACTGCATTGCATTTAACTACGGTCTGTTATCACATATTTAAAATTGTGAAAAACAAACATTTGCACACCTCAGAGGAGGCTGAAATGCACTAACATACATACTGTATATTACAGTATGTTTGCACACACACACACACACACACACACACACACACACACACACACACACACCACAACACACACACACACACACACACACACAGCAGCCGGTGGGGTCAGGCCTATGGCACTGATCATATATGCTGATGTTGCCTGCAGCAGATCCAGGTGGGAGGATGTTACAAATGAGATTGGGATCACGTAGTTCCCGACAATCAGATTAATCTGGGATGGCGGACATATTAGCTCAACAGATCCCAAAGGAGTGCTACGAGAAAGGTTTGAGGGAGAAGAGACTGTCAATAAAGTTGATTTGCTTTCGTTTTTTTGTCCAAAAACACCTATGACGGTGATATGGGCTGCAAGCGGTGATTTACATTCTCAAGTACATTTTAATTAGTTTTTTATCCGTCAAATGCAAGAAAATAAGATCTAATAGCTTGCTTTGTCTGATTAATAACAGAGCAAAACAAATGTATAATCATATGAAACAGAGCAAAGCAGAAAATAAGAGTTTTAAAAGCAAGTTAATATCTTCTTGTTTTTGCAAAATAAATGAATGACATTAACTGGAAATTGTCTGAACTATTTGTTAATCCTTTAACCATGACCATGTCTTTAAGGTAAGTATTAGGGCTGTCCCAATTTTAGATATGGTCTACACGGATATCTTGGCCGGAGAATTTACAAAAATGTTATAAATTCAGCAAAATATATACAGAACATTTTAAAATACTTCCGTTATAATCATTCAAATTCATCTTTAACTTTGTTTATTGCGCATTTGTGAAGATTAAGTGAAGAGTATGTTGGGCTTTCACAATGCGAAGATATTGAAATACAAAATCAAAGTACTCAACCGAAGAATAAGTACCTCAACATTGTACGTTACTTGCGGAAATGTACTCGGTCAAATCCCAACTCAGGTCCCAAATATGTGCACTCAATAAAATGTATGATTTAATGAGTGACTGTTATCAGATTCAAAGTACAGCCGGGTAAAAAACGTCACTCTGCTTAAATGATGCTCAGCAGATTGAGAAGTTTTCAAAATGAAATATGAATATTCAGACATTACTCCTGGCTGCTCTAAATGTCTGTCACTCCGTCACTTAGAAAGATGATATAACATGGCAATACTTTAAGAAATGAGGAGTACATTTTTTCCTTCTTGCATTATAAGAGTCAAAACAGAGATGTTTGCACGGCCGACAGGGACATTTGTACATCTGCTGCAAATCCCACACAGTCAACGAGCATGAAATCATCCTGCAGAAATAATTAATACACCAATACGACGGGAAATGATATCACTCGAGAAATTAGAGCTAGATAGGTATGGATGGACTACCACCCATTGCCACAACACACACACACACACACACACACACACACACACACACACACACACACCCACACACACACACACACACACACACACACACACCACACACACACACACACACACACAGCAATGGTCTGTAGGGTAGAGCCACCACTCTATCATCGCCCATGTGCCAAAACTCAGCCAACGTTTTGAGCCCTAATGACATTCTAAGCTGTGAACACATTATGGCGGCGATATGCACAAACTGTGCTGCCAGCCGGTGTCAATGGGATGGTGCGTGGTTTCCATGGCGACGGAGACGATGCAGAGGCGAGAGAGACAGCGAATAGAAAAAAGACATTGTTCACCACATGATAAACCGAAGCTGTAGACGGACGACATTAGTCTTTATGATTGGTAATCTTTATTCTTTTTTTTTTTTGTCCTTCTGCACACTGCAATAAAAAAGGCTGGATAGTGTCATGTGGGGGGATGGTGGGGGTTGGCTTAATCAAAGATAATCTGCCGGCATGCAGATATGTGTCAGCAGGCCGGAGGAAGAGGAGGAGAAGGGCATGTATTGTCCTGAGTTTTCAGTGCAGAAACCATTCGTCTGCCAATCACCTATCTACCTAGCTTAACGGGCATGGGGGAAGGGTGTAAGGGAGGACACCGGCATATCATCTGTATTAACACACCACACACACACACACACCACACACACACACCACACACACACACACACACACACACACACACACACACACCACACACACACACACGCACGCACACACACACCACACATACACACACATGAAAGAGGACGAGGAGGATTGCAAATGGCCACCGGAGAAAAAGCCGCAGGAAAATGACTGACAGTATTCTGGTCGGCTGTTGTCAAGTCGGGGTGGTTGGCTTGGTCGTCTGAGCGTCGTTCACAGATGTGGGGCAAGCTGCCGACTCCACACTCCACCGGTGATGAAGCGTGTGTGTGCTGTGTGTGTGTGTGTGTGTGTGCTGTGTGTGTGTGTGTGTGTTGTGTGTGTGTGTGTGTGTGTGTGTGTGTGTGCTGTGTGTGTGTGTGTGAAGGGGTGGAGGGTTAGCCAAGGTAGTTTTAAGGCGTCTGCACTAGATCTGCCCAACCCCTTTTTGTTAAATATCCACCTGAGGTCAAGCTAACACAAAGTCCCCGCAGCATCCATGAAAAGTGACGCAAACATCCCTTGGGGGGGGGGGGGGGGCGTGAAGAGCTAATTGGTCTTCTTCCGTGAGGCGACCTGGAGGCGACAGCTCTTGATTTACATGTTAATAAGTAAAATTTGCAAGGTACTTAGGATAATCAATGCTAGCAGTTTCCCCCTGCTTCCAATATTTATGCTAAGCTAATTCTCCAAAATCCAATTTACTTATAAGATTGCATGACTGGGCGAACTGTCCAAACCAATATAACTGCAGAATAATGGAACATTTGCTGCTGCAGCAATTTTTGCATTTACAAAGTGGACATTTTGTTAACTAAGTGAAATTCAAAATGTGGTGTTTTTTTTTTTTACCTTGGCACCATGCTAGGCGTCCCCAACCTGTTTCCATTCTTTACGCTAAGCTAACCTACTGGATGCAGCTTCATATTCAAACCAACACCCAATGGCATCGATCATTTCTTCCACTTCTTGGTGCTGTCAAACTTTGATTTAATGGAGAACAGGCCAAATAATGTACACAATGTTGCCACAGTTTGCATGTGGATTACACTACAAACTATGGAACTCTGCTTGGAATACAATTTGTTTTTACATTTCTATAAAACATTAAGTTGGTAAATGGGGAATAAATCCACTTGCTCCTTCAAAGGCAAATAAAAAACCCTAAAACTTGTGGCATTTGAAGGGCACACCAAAGTAATAGTTGATCAACTGGTCAGTCTGCACATCATTATTGGCTCAGCATAGCGTTCAATGCTCTTGGATGTTCCTCTAATGGGATTTCCCCCCCCCTTATCTTCAATTTTTTCTCGCTCCAAATAAAACACCCATGAAAAAACATCATATTATTTAGTGGAGGCTTCACCCTTGACATCACACTGCATGAATTGTACCCCGGTGCAATGAAAGGAATCAACCAGATTATATTAGATTATAACGCCCAGACTGATTTCATCCCGTTGCACGCTGCTGCATTATTAATCTGACAGTAATTGTAGCTCGCCGTGTGCAATGAATCTCAGACAAAGAGGACAGAGAGGGGAAGAAAGCCTCCATGTCTTTTTTTTATGTTTAATCTGGTGGGTTTTTCCCCCCCTCTGTGTATCAGAATGTCCATCCACATCCCTTCATGCATTATTCATAAAGTCCCCCCAGCACTAATCCTCGCCTTTGTGTGGCTGTAGTGCCAGTGTGCCTCCAGGGATCTG